CCCCCCCACAGCACCCAACCCTGGTGTCTGGGCACCCATGGACTCCACTTGTACCCATCTTGGGCTTTCAACCACCCATGGACCCCCCCCTGCACCCATCCTGGGGATCTGAGCACCCATCTACCACCTGCCCCCATCCTGGGCTTCCAACCACCCATGGAGTCCTCTCTGGAACCCTCCTGGGTGTCCAACCATCCCTGGACCCCCCCCACAGCACCCAACCCTGGTGTCTGGGCACCCATGGACTCCACTTGTACCCATCTTGGGCTTTCAACCACCCATGGACCCCCCCCTGCACCCATCCTGGGGATCTGAGCACCCATCTACCACCTGCCCCCATCCTGGGCTTCCAACCACCCATGGAGTCCTCTCTGGAACCCTCCTGGGTGTCCAACCATCCCTGGACCCCCCCCACAGCACCCAACCCTGGTGTCTGGGCACCCATGGACTCCACTTGTACCCATCTTGGGCTTTCAACCACCCATGGACCCCCCCCTGCACCCATCCTGGGGATCTGAGCACCCATCTACCACCTGCCCCCATCCTGGGCTTCCAACCACCCATGGAGTCCTCTCTGGAACCCTCCTGGGTGTCCAACCATCCCTGGACCCCCCCCACAGCACCCAACCCTGGTGTCTGGGCACCCATGGACTCCACTTGTACCCATCTTGGGCTTTCAACCACCCATGGACCCCCCCCTGCACCCATCCTGGGGATCTGAGCACCCATCTACCACCTGCCCCCATCCTGGGCTTCCAACCACCCATGGAGTCCTCTCTGGAACCCTCCTGGGTGTCCAACCATCCCTGGACCCCCCCCACAGCACCCAACCCTGGTGTCTGGGCACCCATGGACTCCACTTGTACCCATCTTGGGCTTTCAACCACCCATGGACCCCCCCCTGCACCCATCCTGGGGATCTGAGCACCCATCTACCACCTGCCCCCATCCTGGGCTTCCAACCACCCATGGAGTCCTCTCTGGAACCCTCCTGGGTGTCCAACCATCCCTGGACCCCCCCCACAGCACCCAACCCTGGTGTCTGGGCACCCATGGACTCCACTTGTACCCATCTTGGGCTTTCAACCACCCATGGACCCCCCCCTGCACCCATCCTGGGGATCTGAGCACCCATCTACCACCTGCCCCCATCCTGGGCTTCCAACCACCCATGGAGTCCTCTCTGGAACCCTCCTGGGTGTCCAACCATCCCTGGACCCCCCCCACAGCACCCAACCCTGGTGTCTGGGCACCCATGGACTCCACTTGTACCCATCTTGGGCTTTCAACCACCCATGGACCCCCCCCTGCACCCATCCTGGGGATCTGAGCACCCATCTACCACCTGCCCCCATCCTGGGCTTCCAACCACCCATGGAGTCCTCTCTGGAACCCTCCTGGGTGTCCAACCATCCCTGGACCCCCCCCACAGCACCCAACCCTGGTGTCTGGGCACCCATGGACTCCACTTGTACCCATCTTGGGCTTTCAACCACCCATGGACCCCCCCCTGCACCCATCCTGGGGATCTGAGCACCCATCTACCACCTGCCCCCATCCTGGGCTTCCAACCACCCATGGAGTCCTCTCTGGAACCCTCCTGGGTGTCCAACCATCCCTGGACCCCCCCCACAGCACCCAACCCTGGTGTCTGGGCACCCATGGACTCCACTTGTACCCATCTTGGGCTTTCAACCACCCATGGACCCCCCCCTGCACCCATCCTGGGGATCTGAGCACCCATCTACCACCTGCCCCCATCCTGGGCTTCCAACCACCCATGGAGTCCTCTCTGGAACCCTCCTGGGTGTCCAACCATCCCTGGACCCCCCCCACAGCACCCAACCCTGGTGTCTGGGCACCCATGGACTCCACTTGTACCCATCTTGGGCTTTCAACCACCCATGGACCCCCCCCTGCACCCATCCTGGGGATCTGAGCACCCATCTACCACCTGCCCCCATCCTGGGCTTCCAACCACCCATGGAGTCCTCTCTGGAACCCTCCTGGGTGTCCAACCATCCCTGGACCCCCCCCACAGCACCCAACCCTGGTGTCTGGGCACCCATGGACTCCACTTGTACCCATCTTGGGCTTTCAACCACCCATGGACCCCCCCCTGCACCCATCCTGGGGATCTGAGCACCCATCTACCACCTGCCCCCATCCTGGGCTTCCAACCACCCATGGAGTCCTCTCTGGAACCCTCCTGGGTGTCCAACCATCCCTGGACCCCCCCCACAGCACCCAACCCTGGTGTCTGGGCACCCATGGACTCCACTTGTACCCATCTTGGGCTTTCAACCACCCATGGACCCCCCCCTGCACCCATCCTGGGGATCTGAGCACCCATCTACCACCTGCCCCCATCCTGGGCTTCCAACCACCCATGGAGTCCTCTCTGGAACCCTCCTGGGTGTCCAACCATCCCTGGACCCCCCCCACAGCACCCAACCCTGGTGTCTGGGCACCCATGGACTCCACTTGTACCCATCTTGGGCTTTCAACCACCCATGGACCCCCCCCTGCACCCATCCTGGGGATCTGAGCACCCATCTACCACCTGCCCCCATCCTGGGCTTCCAACCACCCATGGAGTCCTCTCTGGAACCCTCCTGGGTGTCCAACCATCCCTGGACCCCCCCCACAGCACCCAACCCTGGTGTCTGGGCACCCATGGACTCCACTTGTACCCATCTTGGGCTTTCAACCACCCATGGACCCCCCCCTGCACCCATCCTGGGGATCTGAGCACCCATCTACCACCTGCCCCCATCCTGGGCTTCCAACCACCCATGGAGTCCTCTCTGGAACCCTCCTGGGTGTCCAACCATCCCTGGACCCCCCCCACAGCACCCAACCCTGGTGTCTGGGCACCCATGGACTCCACTTGTACCCATCTTGGGCTTTCAACCACCCATGGACCCCCCCCTGCACCCATCCTGGGGATCTGAGCACCCATCTACCACCTGCCCCCATCCTGGGCTTCCAACCACCCATGGAGTCCTCTCTGGAACCCTCCTGGGTGTCCAACCATCCCTGGACCCCCCCCACAGCACCCAACCCTGGTGTCTGGGCACCCATGGACTCCACTTGTACCCATCTTGGGCTTTCAACCACCCATGGACCCCCCCCTGCACCCATCCTGGGGATCTGAGCACCCATCTACCACCTGCCCCCATCCTGGGCTTCCAACCACCCATGGAGTCCTCTCTGGAACCCTCCTGGGTGTCCAACCATCCCTGGACCCCCCCCACAGCACCCAACCCTGGTGTCTGGGCACCCATGGACTCCACTTGTACCCATCTTGGGCTTTCAACCACCCATGGACCCCCCCCTGCACCCATCCTGGGGATCTGAGCACCCATCTACCACCTGCCCCCATCCTGGGCTTCCAACCACCCATGGAGTCCTCTCTGGAACCCTCCTGGGTGTCCAACCATCCCTGGACCCCCCCCACAGCACCCAACCCTGGTGTCTGGGCACCCATGGACTCCACTTGTACCCATCTTGGGCTTTCAACCACCCATGGACCCCCCCCTGCACCCATCCTGGGGATCTGAGCACCCATCTACCACCTGCCCCCATCCTGGGCTTCCAACCACCCATGGAGTCCTCTCTGGAACCCTCCTGGGTGTCCAACCATCCCTGGACCCCCCCCACAGCACCCAACCCTGGTGTCTGGGCACCCATGGACTCCACTTGTACCCATCTTGGGCTTTCAACCACCCATGGACCCCCCCCTGCACCCATCCTGGGGATCTGAGCACCCATCTACCACCTGCCCCCATCCTGGGCTTCCAACCACCCATGGAGTCCTCTCTGGAACCCTCCTGGGTGTCCAACCATCCCTGGACCCCCCCCACAGCACCCAACCCTGGTGTCTGGGCACCCATGGACTCCACTTGTACCCATCTTGGGCTTTCAACCACCCATGGACCCCCCCCTGCACCCATCCTGGGGATCTGAGCACCCATCTACCACCTGCCCCCATCCTGGGCTTCCAACCACCCATGGAGTCCTCTCTGGAACCCTCCTGGGTGTCCAACCATCCCTGGACCCCCCCCACAGCACCCAACCCTGGTGTCTGGGCACCCATGGACTCCACTTGTACCCATCTTGGGCTTTCAACCACCCATGGACCCCCCCCTGCACCCATCCTGGGGATCTGAGCACCCATCTACCACCTGCCCCCATCCTGGGCTTCCAACCACCCATGGAGTCCTCTCTGGAACCCTCCTGGGTGTCCAACCATCCCTGGACCCCCCCCACAGCACCCAACCCTGGTGTCTGGGCACCCATGGACTCCACTTGTACCCATCTTGGGCTTTCAACCACCCATGGACCCCCCCCTGCACCCATCCTGGGGATCTGAGCACCCATCTACCACCTGCCCCCATCCTGGGCTTCCAACCACCCATGGAGTCCTCTCTGGAACCCTCCTGGGTGTCCAACCATCCCTGGACCCCCCCCACAGCACCCAACCCTGGTGTCTGGGCACCCATGGACTCCACTTGTACCCATCTTGGGCTTTCAACCACCCATGGACCCCCCCCTGCACCCATCCTGGGGATCTGAGCACCCATCTACCACCTGCCCCCATCCTGGGCTTCCAACCACCCATGGAGTCCTCTCTGGAACCCTCCTGGGTGTCCAACCATCCCTGGACCCCCCCCACAGCACCCAACCCTGGTGTCTGGGCACCCATGGACTCCACTTGTACCCATCTTGGGCTTTCAACCACCCATGGACCCCCCCCTGCACCCATCCTGGGTATCTGAGCACCCATCTACCACCTGCACCCATCCTGGGCTTCCAACCACCCATGGAGTCCTCTCTGGAACCATCCTGGGTGTCCAACCATCCCTGGACACCCCCCACAGCACCCAACCCTGGTGTCTGGGCACCCATGGACCCCACTTGTACCCACCTTGGGCTTCCAACCACCCATGGACCCCCCCACCACCACCCATCCCAGGTCGGGGGGGGTCAGCACCCACCTCTGCCGCAGCGGCAGCTCCACCTCGCTGTCCACTTCCCCCTCCTCCTCCTCCGACGAGACCCCCCGCTTCTGGGAGGGCAAAGGTGTGGGGGGGGGGACACTGGGGTCCTCCTGCTGCCCCTCAGGAGGGACCCACAGGTCCTGACCCCACTCCCTCCATCCCAGGAAGGACCCAGGGGTCCTGCGCCCCCCCCCCAAGATGGTCCCATGTGTCCTGAACCCCCCCCCAAGAT